CTCAATTAGCAACTATACAAAGAGATTTTCTTTCATGCAACTGCAAGGGTCTAAAATGTGACAGCCCCCACACCACAGAATAAATTAATTGCATACCACTTCTCAACATTAATAAAGATCAAAATACTTAAACTTTTAAGAAGAAATCATCTATCTAACAAAATTACCAGGATTTGAAGCAGCAGCACCAAAGCCACCAGCAGCAGTGGCAAATCCACCAGCTGCAGTGGCAGCAGCAGCAAATCCTCCACCACCAGTCGCCAAACTCGCAAAACCACCGGCTGTAGAAGCAGAACAAAATCCTCCTCCAAAACCACCGCCAGAAATCCCTCCGAAGCCACTTGCAGGGGCCACATTGCTTCCTGGCAAACTGGGCCCCAGCTGCCTAGACTGTCCAAAACTACCAAGTACTGAGCCCAGTGCCTGTTGGCCTGCTCCCATATTTGCGGGCTGCCCGAATCCAGAAACAGCAGACACTTGACCGGAATTCACAGAACTAAACCCACCAGAAAAGTTCACAGCCACTGGCTGGGAAGACACCAGAGGCTGAGGTTGTTGGAATTGGAAAGATGCGGGTTTGAAAAGCTCGCCAATAGGAGCAGAAGTATTGGGCAATGAAGCAAAATGTGTTGTTGTATCTTTGTTGAGGGTTGATACACCAAATGGATTAGATTTGGGGGTGGTTGAATTTGGAATTGAGCCGATACCAAATCCACCAAGGTTCCCTAGTGATAATTCAGTAGTCTGATCTGTCTCGGGAGCTTCCTCCTCCATTTCCTCCTCTTCAGAAGAAATCAAACCTACAGTTTTAGCACTACCAATAACCCCTTCACTTGATGGTGAGGCTGGTGAACGAATTTCAGCTGTAGTAGCCAGTTCAGCATTGATAAGTGATGTAACAGTAGCTGAACTCTTAGACAAGCCACCTGAATCAATTTGACTTCCGAGTTTAGAATTGCTCGGCAATTCTGACGGCACAGATGATGTTGAAGGTCCAAGTTTAGAATTAGATGTAAAAACTGAGAACCCAGACTGCAATGGTGAAGCCTGAATTTTCACATTTTGATCAGTTCCCAGTAATGTATTATCGACTGGCGTCTTTGTTGAAGGGAGGTTCTCGACTTTTGAGCCAAGAACGGGGACAGGAGGTTGAAGCAACGATGACTGAGTGTCTGACTTTATGCTCGATGAAGGGGAAATAGATAGAAGATTGCTCTGAAAATTCAGGGATGAAGGAACTGACGTCTGAGGCTGTAAATCTGCCTCTTGTTTTGCAACAGAAGTTGATGTTGAAGAACTTGGTTTCGATAAAGAGGACGCAAATGATGGTACACTGTTACTTGAGAATAACGATGAACCAAAGAGTGACTGTGATGGGACAGAATCTGACGAACTATCATTGGGCTGGCTTGGTTTTTCTGAACTCGTAGTTAATGGAGGAACTTTCTCGATTAAATTTGTGCCAAAACTTAATGCAGATGCAGGACGGACAGGAATTTTAGAGTCAAATAATGGAGTTTTGGACGCTGTCCAAGCATTCTTCTCCTGTTCCCCTTTTAATGATGTCGGAGATTGCTCGGTTAGCCGTGTGGAAGTGGATGGTAAAGGCTGGAACCCTGTATCAGAATCTTTGCTGGAAAAATTAAACTCGCTTGCAGCAAAAGTATCTTTATTTCCTGTCAAAGGTAGGCCACCCCTTGAATTTTCACCAATTAGTTGGAAGGCCACTTGTCCACTATTTTGTGCTGTCCTTGTCTCCAACATGGATGATGGTGGCAATGAAAGAGAGTTTTTAGTAGATATATTTCGGTTTCCATTATCTGGCGAACCAGCTGTCATCTGGAGCACCGGTTTAAATTGGCCCACGGTATGCTGTTCTGGTATTTCAGCAACGCCTGTGCAAGTTCCAGAAACAGACATTGAGTTAAATTTTGTTAAAGCATGAATTTATATATTATTCAACTAGAATTGCATCAGTACCTTTGCTTTTGTAACTGTTCAAAGCTGCTCGGTACACACTTGAGTTTGCTAAATGAGCAGCTTCTGACTTCCTTGGCAGCTGTGGACTGAGATTTTGTTTATCAATATTTAACAACGGCAGGTTTGTGTTGCTCTGACCATATTCTTTCAGCACCCTTTTCACAGTTGTTTTTGGAGGTTCAAAGCTTGCCCAGCTCTGCGGTTGCCAAAATAATGAATCACAAATTAATCCTTAAATAACAAAATTAAGATAAAACGGACAACGTAATGAGAATAAAAAACGACTGTAATTTAAATAGGAGATGGATAACCTGCATTCTCTTGTTTCACAATGTTCTATTTCTACCTTTTGTAGTTATCCAAGTGGAAACGATCAATAGATTGATATTGAACAAACATAACAAATACAGTGCCCCATGTATGAGCATATCAAAGCACAAGCAAGTATTACGTTTTTGGCTATTTAGCACCAACAAGGATACTACACCCAATTACAAAAGTGAGCAGCCTGCACCTCGAGCTTCAATGGTCATAAGAACCTATTTTACTTATCATTATCGTGATATGTGAAATTAAATTCTGAAAGCAAACTTACTACGCCTCATAACATACCACCTTGGCTTGTAAATCTGGAACAGCTCAAACATGCCAATTGACCCGAGGAATTATAAACATTTGCTTTCATTTCCAGCAATTACTTTAATCCAACATGTTAATGCCTATATTGAATTTCATGCGGATAGATTGTGATGGAGACAAGATTACGTTGGCTTTTCTGGACAAGCATGATCGTTTCACGTTTGGCATCATTAGTTTAATTATTTATTCCTTTTATTTTATTGTTATTTAAGGTATTTAATTATTTTAGTCCTTTACTTGGTAGGGAAGTTATTTAATTAGGGATTTCTTAGGAGTCCTAAGTTTATGGTATGTAGATTTCTTAGGAATTCTATTTAAGACTCCTATTCTATGTTTGAAGACTTGGTTGATTTTGATTGAATTAAAAATAGGAGAGTTCTTTCTCAATTCTCCCGTTCCTTTACACTTTCACTACGCCAGATTGTTTAGTAATTGCTATGATATGGCAGAGAACAACACATTTTCCAAAAATATCACGGTAGAAAACCCTTACAGATAGAGAAGATAGGCATCAATAGCATCAATAGAAAAGATAGAGAAGATAGGCATCATACCAAAATCTCAAATGAAGCATCAATAGCACAATATTATTAGCGAAACATGCTGAAATAAAAGCTAAAAGGCCAGCAAAGAAATATTACCCGATCCAGAGAATCTCGACGCCGCCTTGCAGTTTCAGGAGTCTTTGCAAATGTAGACTGGTTTCTTCCAGTATGATCTTTATAAGTAACAGATCTTGAAGTGATTAATTGCTCTTTGTTAAGAGGAGTACAGGAAATCCTATCCCTAGCTGGAGCTCTTTCAAAGTCACCAATGTAAGAGAGGCCAATTGATTCAAAGAGCTTCTTTTTCACGTCCTGTTTTTCATAGGATTCGATACTCAAAGCAGCCATTTGGTTTGAAAGGCATTCAGAAAGTTGCTCAGCAGCTGCTAATTGCGCTTGCATCGTGTTATGTAGAGTGTTCAAAGACTGAGTTTGCCTGCAAGGAAACGAGTTTCATTTCATCTGTTATAAATGGATTTAGTTGAAACAACTCATTAGTTGCTAATAATTAATAATTACTGCATAAGAATGCGAGAATTTAATAAGAGAGCAGTCATTGAGATCCATACGCAAACAAACATAAAACGAAGTCGAAAAAATAGTATGCAATACCTTGAATGGCCATGCCAATTCTGCAGGCCTCTCCAATTTCTTTGCATTCCGTCATTACCGAATTTATTTAACTCCAAGGAGTTGAAATGCCTCTCCAGTTCAATCAACTTGTTGGTCAACTCCTGAAATTATGTTTTTAGAGAAAGAATATGGTGGATGCAGGAGAATAAAAATTGATGCAGAACACATAGTTGTGGTGAACCATAATGCACCTGGTTTAAATCTGATATTCGTTTTTGTTTCAATTCTAGTTCAGAACTCAATTTTTGATGATTCCAAAGTTCCAAGTATCTGCTATCTGTTGCTTGCTTGAAGACCCCTTCCATATATACTTTCCTCACGGAAACTGAAATAACATTCTGGAGTTCATTAACTTCAGGAAGGATAATAATCAATTCACATATACAAAATATATAAAGAAGATCTTACAAGCAAGCAAGCAAGAAGCAAACACTGATAAGTGAAAAAATTGTAATGATAACACTGAAATTCTGAAAAGGAGCTAAACATGACATCAAGCACTACATTAAAATATACACTACACGAACCAAAATAGTTAATAGTATTGCATCAGTCAAGCCACATACCGACAACAAAACTTGTCCTCAAAGAAGCAATTCTACCACAGGTACACCTTTGAAACAAAAATACATAAAAATATCTGCAATTTTTATCCGAAAGAAAACACATCTATAATGACTCCAGTTGTGCTGGTTGTCGATGGGATAATAAATCTGATGTGTGCATCTTCATTCTCCTAGAGAACTTTACACTGAAGGAAATGTATTTTTAATAATATGTAACGGATCATACACACATAAAAAATAATTATTGCTTTCTGGTTAGCTAGTACTTCATACATAATTAATCTTCCTAGTTGAACTCTTCATATTCCCCAAAATATAGCATTAAATTGGCTAACCCTAGCAGAACGTCATACATCTTCTCATTTCCCGGTCTTTTTCTTACCTTTCCACTATACTTCTCCATGGATGCCACCATTACCACAAAAAACAAGGAGTTCTACATTTGCATGTTCACATTGACCCCCACCACAAAAAAACACCCATTAACAGCAATGACAGGGCGTAGGTTATAATCATCACAAGCAATATGTCCATTTGAAGACGAGGCAACATACTTCACATATGTAACTGAGGCCTGAATTACAAAATCAATTAGTAAAATACCTTGTACAGTTTTCTCAAGCAGAAGCTTTAGTTCCTTCCGTTGTTCATTCATAAGTCCCTACATGATAAAGAGAAAACAAATTAAGGTAGAGAAAACAAACTTTTAAGTCAACCTGGATGAAAATAGAAATTAATAAAATATATTTTATGAGCACTTGAGTTATAAAAGGGAGTGTTTGCAAACTCTAAAGAATAAGGTGCTTCTCAGCTTCAATCAGAACCAAACTAAAAATTATAGGCTGGGATCAAGACATTACAAAGGCAAAAAACTCAACCTACGTTTATTAAAACTTAGAAGGGTAATGGCATATATGTATATATAACAAAATTATACACATTTGATCCAATTCATTGGATGATTGTGTGTGTATGTGTGTGAAGACTCCAAAAGACCCTTGAGGACGAGAAAGGAAGCACATTGCCAAAACAAAACTCAACCAATATATTCTGTAATGAGAAACACATATAGAAGAACAAACCCTCCATGTTCTACATTTGCTGGAAAGAGTCCATATATTGTCCTCCAACTCCGTAACAGACTTTGTTTGAGAAGTTATGGATGCATCCAAGAAACCACCTTTTCCTTCAATTTCTTCAAGAAGAATATCTAGTTTTTTAGCCATCTCTTCAACCTGAACATACAGTAACAAAGGGAAGAAAGGACATTGTGAGTTCTTAATAAAGGTGTCCAACTTCAAGCAACACTTTTAACATTAAGCCATATGATGATCTGAGGGTTCATAAGTGGGGTTCATTGACAAGAGATAATGCTAAAAGATGGAAAAGATAAAGAATGTAATCGTATAAGATTGACATCCATATAAAGTATGACAGTGATTACATTTCCAGACTGTTTTGAAGCATTTTGTACAGAGTATGGAAGCCCTGTTCTTGAGGAAGACGAATTCACTTCCTTCCTGAATTCGGGCTGGGAATGTTTTCCTGAAGCAGCACCTTCCCCTGAAGACGCCTCTGAACCAAGATTTGCTGACAGTGCAATTCTATGACCCTGAGCAATAGACGTCTGTCCAAAAGAGGGGAAAGAGACAGTTGGTTTGGATATCTCATTTATATCTGTAGGATGCCGCAGTACACCCCCAGCAGATTGCGATGCATGTTTATCTGAATTGTCAACATCAGAAGGGAACAAAGAAAACCTTCCATCAGCAGTTTTTGAAGCATTTGACCGGGTCAAAGACCACGAACTTAGTGAACTTGGCGTTGGAGCTTTCTGTGATGGATCCACATTGCCACATGATTGTGACTCTTTAGTTATTGATTGCCAAGATAAATCACCAGTTACTTCCCCTGAAAATAAACCTGTATTGTGTTTGACTTCACTAGTCGATTGATTCTCCACTTTACTATCCTGGTTCAATATTAACGGAAAGGCCTTTACTGGCTCAGCCAATTTTGGAGTCTGCGAGTACACAAGAGTCTTTTGTCCCATGTTTTCAGTAGACGGATGCTCTCGTGATTTGATGTCCCCATTAATAGAAGGCGATAAATCACTTGTGATAGTGACCTTAGCATCTATCTTCTCCATTCCAAATTGGCTGAGTTTATGAGAACCAGAGGTCAAAAGGGTTGGGTCTTTACTTTCCTCAGGCAACTCTTGCTTTGCAATTATCTGAGAAGTGTCGTTTTCCTCATCAGAAGCAGCACTTTCAGGTGATGTCAAAGCACCTGCAGCACTACAAGAAAGTAGATAATTCAAGTAGCATTAGGATATTACCATCTAAAAATTGTAACCATATTAACTCTGAATAGAAAACTAATGCCTAACGTGGAATAATTACCTAGCAAAGTGAAAAACTGAAATCTTTCCGTCAATAGTTAGGCATATGATTACACAACAAGGTGAGACTTCTGTTTCCTCATCTCCCAGTGTGAATTTGACATCCTCATTCTGGGAGACCTTGTCCACAAAGAGTCCCAAGATTACATTTTCTTCACCATCGTCTGAGAGCAAACAGTTGGAGAAAATAAAAACAATCAGCTAAATGGATACTGGATGAAAATATGACCTATAGATTTACTAACTAGGCAGAAGTTTCGAAATTTGTTAAACTTCCAATCAGGGATTATTAGTGTTTTGTAGCCTTCACACCTTGAGAATCAATATACAGATTCCAAGCATCATTAAGAATCTCAACCACTGCAACTTTATTCTTCCCTTCGTCCGGCAACCAACAGAACAGCCCAACAGTCCGGGACAGATTCCTATTAGCTATAAATGCCAGACCACTGTACCCAACAGAAACAACAGCCACAATAAGTTAAACCTGTCAAATTCGATAATGTACCAGATGCCATCCGAACTGCGTATGAAATCACTATATAGTGAATGGAGCTATACTAATACATGTGAATGGACAAAGATCATTTAAAGTGGCTAGAAACTTTTTACTGGCTCCTGTATCTTCTGCAAGTACTTTACCAGATCATATAAATAACCTTCACTATATAGGCCAGATGTCAGAATAAAAAAGACCAATAGACCAAATGTCAGAATTACAGGAAACGACTTGATTTGTAACTGAGCGCAGATATGAACCGCATTTATCAATCAACAAAACTACAATGCATCCTTCCAAGAACAGTTGGGATAAAGTAAGTTAAGGGGCGTTCTTGAATATGAGTAATCTCTTGGAAATGATTTGAAAGACTAGTTTTGGACTGGCACAAATTTGAAATCTTAGATAAGAGTTGAAAAGGTAGATGGTTCAGGTATCTTTACTTCACATTCCAACTCACACGTCCTTGATTCAAATATTTTAGCATAGTTGCTTCCAACCGCAGTTCATTTCAATTTTTAAGTACGAGCAATCTAAACTAAATGTTTGGACAAAAGACCAAATGTCAGAAAAAAATAAAAAACGACCTCAAGCATCCATGCTAGATCTTCGTCTAATTAATATGATAAGAACGCCAAAAATGGTGAAACAAATTTTTTAAGAAAAATTATAATATAGTAACTAAAGGAAGAAGAAAAGTTATGCGTACCAATGACCAAGATAACTCAGAAGCAGATGTGGCCCATTTCTGGTGGGCACTGCATCAGAACAGAAATCCATGAAGATATTACTGAAAGACAAAACAGTTGGCTTTGAAGCTTCCTGAACACAATAAACAAGGAATCAGTCAAATAATGCAAAAGCTAAACCAAATAAAATGACATCAGACACTCAAAGCAAAACAATTGATAAAAGCATAGACCATCTTTTATTCCCCACTTTTACGATCAATTCTAATTGATAATAGGCACTACACAGCCATAAGCTTGTGTACCAGTTAACAGTACGACTTCCTGTGTTTCTAATAAGTAGGGGTTGTTTTTCATACACTAAATACGACAAACTCATGCAGTTTTAAGACGATTGCAAAGTATTCTAACACTCCACATATTGCCCGGTTTATAAGTCTGATAAGCAGATAAGCATTAATTAACATGATGAACAGTATAATATAAGGACTTGCAAAGAACTCCAGTGTCAAGGAGATCGAAACTTGTATGATTATCATTTTTCCAGCAAGGAGGGACGCAATAATAGGTTAAATGAATAAGCTGACTATCTACAATCATGAGTCATGACTTCTGCAGAAGTTAATATTTTTCCATTTTACATATGGAACCAGCCAGCCAAATAAAGAATTTTAAGTCTTTCTTGTACGTATTTATTTATCAGTCTACTATCCAATGTTATTAATTCTATGCAAGGATATCCTTGGGTATGAATTGTGGCAACTTTAGGGAGGGAAAAAGAAAAGGTAATTTTTAGCTTCAAGCAATTCTTTGCGACAAATTGTACGGAATGCATTGAGTTAAGTAATTTCAAAGAAAGCATAATAGATTTACATCAGTAAGCTTTCCATCCCTGCTTGTGATGACTTGGACTATGTAATTTTCCTCTGCGCCATCGTCATCTAATTGGAAACATCCGACAGCTAGACAATCTGGACGGATCCACCGTATCGAATCCACTGAGATACACAACAATGAAAGTCATTTGTGTAAAAACAAGGCATTGAATATAAAGGTGCATAATAAATTCTAGTTTTGGCGACAACAATACATCTGTGGTCTTAAAGAATAGAACATCAGCAACTTCATCATTCTTATAAATTCTGAACGTGAAAAGTTACCTGTAGTTGAATCACAACTATAAAGAAGTATGCTCCTCAAAACCTTGCATTTTTATGAACTTTAACATATAAATGGGTTGTTAATCTTAACCACCATACATTCATTCTCCTTCAGAATTTGCTAAAAGCAGCATTAATATTTCAAGTTTCAACTACCAACAAGCCGCCCTAATGGTGCAAATGTGACCTAAAAACAATCAACTTATTCATCACTGCTACTGTTGGTGACTCCAAAATTCTGGCTCTCAAAAAGTTATATGCTATGAAGTTATATGTTCATTTCACTTCAGAGAACACAATCATTGTACCAGGTCAGTACACCTCAGCATAGTGCAGCAGTGTAATACTAGAGTCTAGACAGATGATACCCAGGACTAAATAGTCATGCTTATCACAATTGTCAAAGCTGCATGCCTTAGGCACACTGAAAATAGATTCAACAGAAAAAAGTTTAACACAACTGCAAATAGAATCAGCGATCAGCATAAACGTTAAAACACAACAAGGATGACAAAAACATAAGAAACAGTACCTTTTATAACTTGGTTAACATCAGATTCTCCAACCACCGACCGAAATGGTAGAGAAAATCTTACTTTTTCCTTAAACTGTGGTGACAAAATGCTGATGGCGTTCTTTTTCGCAACAGCAACAAAATTGCCTTTAACACTCCAGTCAACTATACCAATAAATCATTTTGGTGAGCAAAGGAAATTTATACCAGTGGGAGACACACTGAACTTTGAGGTGAAACTTCACATAACAATTTTTACAACATGCAAATAGCTACTGATCGTGACCACAATCTCAACTGGGTGGGAACAGTAATATCAAAATTACATTTTGGACGCTAAAAATATTGTGTTCCAACATAAATAGATGTTTTAACTACTTGCAACAAAAGTAATGATATGATTCTGCGATATCTGATGGTAAACTCTTTGAAATAATTTTGTCGAAATAATATTATGCCCACATGGTATTGAGACTCGTAAATTGCAAAGACACCAAAGAGACACAGAAAAATCAGGAAACATACCAGAATCGACACCTTCCATAACATAACCAAGGGGACCTTGACCAGTTCCCTGGTACAACTTTCCATTGGCTGAAAGGATGAGATAAGCTTTTGCAACTTTTTTCGCCCAACGAAAATCCTTGATGCAATTGGACTCATCAAGCGCCACTGAATACGAAGGCTTCTTTTCCTATTAATCAACCATTTAATGAGCTATAACTCCTCTACCAGCATCCAAAAATCTTCACAATGAAGCACCTCTGAATCCGGTTTTGTAATTTAAATGCCATTACATGTGGAGCGAAGGAAAAGGGAAGTACCTTGTGGAGCAGAGCGCTAACAGCAAAGAAATGGACATAGCTGTCCACGCTAGCAGCAAGCAATGAGTCATCAGCTGATAGAGCCAAAATCGAAACTTTCTCAATTGGGACATCAACGAGGCTCAGCTCCTGTAAAGATTGTCCCTTTTGTTCCTCTTTAGACGCCTCGGCGGTCGCAATCACGTCCTTGGTCCTCGCAACATAAAACCCTAAACCCAAAGACCACAATAATTAGCAACATAGTAGTTTTCACTCGCGATGAGAGGAAAAAAAGGAGGCGCGACGAGGTTTTACCCTTTGGATAAACTACAAATAGGAGGCGAAGCCGTTCGGAGACGGCTAGGGGCTGGGATGGGAGGGAATCTGCATCGAACTCAGAATTAATGGAAATGGACTCTCCGATTTTGGAGAAGCGGTAATTTCTGGAGCCGATTTCTTCTCCTTCAATTTCCTCGTCCACTTCGACGGCGGCGCCATCAGCTGCCGGAGGTGTAGACATTGACAGCGAACCAAGATGTGTTGTAGAGAGAACAGAGGGGATGAGTTGGGGCTTGCTATTTAGTGTTATGGGCGGGAAGGCTTTGGGCATACCGTAGTAGAACGATTTTTTGGACGGCCGCAAGTAAGAGAAAATTGCACACTGTACCATGCCTTTCATTTTTAATTATATAAATAAATGTAATCAATTACAAATAATAGCAAATATACAATATACAACATTTATAATTGCAAATTTACTAGAAACTTAAAAATTGATTAATTTATAAAAGCTGCCTTAATAAACTTAATAAACTCGTAATTAAAGGTGCCTTATCACCTTCTAAAATCGCCTCGAGGAAATTGGTAAGAAAATCTCATATTTATCTCTCTCCCACTCTATTCTTTGTCTTCTTCTCTCTCTCTCTTCTTCTTTTTCTTCTTCTACAATCCGCCGTTGTTCTCCTCCCCCACTGCCTAATCTCCAACAACTTTGCTCCGTCCCGAAATGCCGGCGAGTGTTAACATTCTCAAACACCACCGAGAATTTCTAGATTAAAATTTTCCTTTGGCACTGGTTTTCAATAAAGAAGACGGATTCTTTTTTTTTTTTTGCTGCCTTGCTTTTTTTTTGTATGTATCTCTAATTATTTTACAAGTTTGATGTGTATAATGTTCTTTCAGTATATGTTCTGTATATATGCTGTATATAATGATATATCGGTTTATTTCTATATTTATATGTCTGTATATAATGACTATATAATCAGTATATCTTTTGTATATAATCCGTTCTTGTTCTCCTTTTATCTGGTGCGACAGATCGAAATACACATATACATAAAATATACTTTAAATATACACTCGAGTTTGCATCGTTTCTTAAAATCGATTTCAGAACTCCCATATACGTAAAATATCCATAAGATATACGCACGAGATTCTTGTAATTCAAGCCAGTGCAGATCGTTACACACATATACATAAAATATACATTCGTTATTGCTTTGTATATTGTAACGGGTGTGTTCTGCATATTTTGTTCGTGTTCTGCATATTTTGTTCATCTTTTCTGTATAATGGAATGACATTTGGATTATTTGAATTTCAAAATTCCACGATTTTTTTTTTTTTTTTAGGAATAGGATATGAACAAAATCCTAAATAATAGGTAATATAAACTTACCTTTTCTTATTCATATTTAATCGTAATTGTAGGACAATGGTTTCACAATTAATATGGTAACGTAATTATCGGGTTACACAATTAAATGTAGTTTAAAAGTTATCCGTGCAAATAAAATCATGAGTTAGTAAATCCACAAATAAGTATATTTCTTGTGGTATAGATCAAATTTTGCCCAAAAGTAACATGATAGCTAAGCTAATTGATAAGTGAATTTGGAACTTAAAGAGTTACCAAGTTCATTATGAAGAATGGTGCTAGATACAACATTGTATATCTTGAACCTAGTTCTATAGAATTCAGTAGTGACTACTCCAATTGAATTGTGGAAAGGGCGCAAGCTCAATCTTTCACATATTTGGATTTGAGGCAGCCCTGCACACGTTCTGGTGCAGGACGCTGGCGAATTGGAAAGGCGATCAGAAGTACGACTGTCCGTAGGCTATCCCAAGGGAACAAAAGGTGAATTATTTTATAGTCCCGATGATCAGATAGTGATCGTTAGCACGAACTCTAGATTTTTAATAGAAGACTATATTATAAACCACAATCCCACTAGTAGCCTTGTCTTAGTGGAGTTGAAGAGTGAAGTTGCTAGTCCCATACCGAGTGTGCTAATAGATACACCACATAATATTGTATCACGCAACACTGAGTGTGCACTTGTGCAGATAGTACCTTGTCGCAGTGGGAGGGTTGTGAGACATCCCGACCGATTTATGTTTCTCGGAGAGTCATCGGACTCAGTCGCGGGTGAACTAAAACTAGATCCTTGGACATTTGATGAGACACTCTAGGACAATGATGCAGTATCATGGCAAAGTGCGATGAAAGCTGAGATGGAGTCAATGGACTCCAATCAGGTCTGAGATCTTGTAGAATCACCTAGTGTGGGTACAACCCATTTGATAGAAGTGGGTCTACAAGAAAAAGAGAGGATTGGATGGATAGATTGAGATTTTCAAGGTTAGGCTTGCTGCGAACGGGTGTACTCAGAAAGAGGGGATCGGTTATGTAGAAACATTCACCAGTAGCCATGCTCAAATCCATATGGATTCTCTTGGTTGTAGCCGCTCATACGGATTATGATATTTGGCATATGGATTTTAAGAAGACTTTCCTTAATGGGAGCCTTTAGGAGGACATCTGTAATATCCCTTTCAGTTATCTCAGTTATTATGAGTTATTGTTCCAAGAAATAAGTGATTTCGAGTCCAAGATAGTAAGTTATCGGACCGAAATTAAGAATTTTCAAGGAACAAGCCACACGAGTCGTGTGAAAAGACACACGAGTCGTGTGAAGCCACACGAGTCGTGTGGAGAGGCACACGAGTCGTGTGGGATGGAGATGTGATGAAAGTTAGCCTCGGGATTTTGACACGAGTCGTGTGATTAGCCACACGAGTCGTGTGATGCTACACGAGTCGTGTGATATGGTACACGAGTCGTGTGAGAAGATGAATGATTAAGAGCAAAAGTGTCGGCAAGCCACACGAGTCGTGTGGCAAGGCACACGAGTCGTGTGAGGCCACACGAGTCGTGTGACTCCCCCACACGAGTCGTGTTGCCGACAGTCCAATTGGATTATTGAGAATTCGATTGTGACTTTAACCAAAGGCCATTTTTGATGTTTAAATATGCTTTGGATGGATGAATAAGTAAATCATAAGATATTTTAAAGATTATTTAAGTTTATAAGTTAAATTTTATATTATGATCATTTAATCACTCTATTTGGATGTTTCTCCAATTTGTGCCTATAAATAGAGGCTTAAACCTTAGAGTTTTTACACCAAAATAATTACTAAAGTCATATGAGTTTGTGAGAGAGAGTGAGAAGGAGTAATCTTTGGAGAAGTAAGGACATTAGAGTGAAGAATCAAGTTTTTAACTTCACCTAGAAGGAGGTAATTTACTTATCTTAATGTTTCATATTTGAGTTCATGCTTTTATGATAAGTTTACATGTTTATGAGTATGTATATCATGATGTAGAAGTTGGAGTTTATAATTGATAAAATGAGTTAAAGATGTTAAAGATCAATTATGTGATATATGTGCTTAATGAAATGAGATGTTGATTTGCATGAGATTTTCATGAAGATATGAATATGCTGGAAAAGTATGATTTAAATGAATAATTCTTGTGTAAAAGAGGAGTACATGAGATCAAGAATTTAGTGATTTGGCATAGTATAACTTAAGTTATGAATTTTTGAAGATGAACATGTAAGATGAAGTTTATGTTCACTATGACTTTAAATTCTCATAACTTGATGAATATGAATGATTAAATTATGAAATTTTGATGACATGTCTATTTAGAAGTTGAGATTATGACTGTTAAATTTCATAATTTAAAGATGAGAAATGAATGAGTTATGAATATGAGATGGCATATATGTGAAGATGAGTATATATATATACAAGAATATTCATGAGATGATCAAGATATTAAAATGAGATTTTTATGATCTATTCTCATATGAGTGATGAGTAAATTTGATGAAGATGGTTTAATATGTTGAGCATACAATTTTATAAAAATTGTATTAAGTATGGCATATTAATATCATGATTGGATGTGATGTTTAAAAGATGAATATGATTGAGTTTAATTTCACTTTCAAGATGTAAAAGTGAAAAATGAGTATGAGTAAATATGAATGATTTGGAGAATATGATATATGATGAGATTGATTGAGTAAAAGATTGAGAAAAGTTAATTTGAGAAATGATATGATTATTGAAATTTCTATAAGATTTGAATAAGTTATCCGAATGAATTGAGAAAACCGAGCATCTTATTGAGTAAATGAGCATAAGTACTTAGTATATTTGTTTATATATTTTTATGTAGCTTGAGGAGGTTGCTATACGAGAACAACACTTACGAATTTACAAACGACGAAAGGTGGGGACCCAGACTGGGTATTACATTGAGTATAATATTGATATCATGTCCGAGGTATGTAAAAGTTTAAGTTTATACGCTTGGGAAGAAGGCTGATGAGTTGCCTTACGAGTATTTCCTAAGTTCTAATGGAGGCCGTTGAGTTGCCTGAGAAATATCCATTAGATTGTGCACAAGTATCCGATGAGATATCGGTGAGATGAAGTTGAGATACTGGAAGAGTTTTAAGTCCAGTTATATACCGGAGATCATGATATTGTATTATTATTGCTGTTTACTTTAGTATGGGTGTTTTTCGGGGTACAAGAGGATCGTACTCACCCCCATTGTGTTTTTCAGGAAACAGGGTCGGGCCGGAGGTGTGAGCTCGAGACGTTGTGGTGGTGGTTGTGCATTTCCAAGGATTTTTATGAAGTCTTTAATAAAGTTTGTATAATAAATCACGCTTTCGATTATTCCGCTACGCATATTGACTATTGAACTTGCATTTTCTTAAATGAATTTATGATTTGAAGTTTTTATAAATTTGAGAAGGATGGATATGGTTAAATGCAAGTTTAAAGAAAATCTATTTAATTATGTCTAAAAGAGTTATTAGACAAGAGGTTAAAGATAAATGGATTTTCAAGATGTAAGGTTGAGTAGCATCCCGAAATAGTCGCAAAAGATTTTGAAAGAGATATAAGTATTTTCGAAGTAAAAGTTGCGAAAAATTTACTCTGATAAGCGGGGTGTTACAACATCTATATGCAACAACCAGAGAGGTTTATCGTAGAGGGCCATGAGCATCTAGTGTGTAAGTTGAACCGGTTTATTTATGGATTGAAACAGGCTTCGAGGTCTTGGAACATCTGGCTCGATGAGTTGATCTAGTCGTACGGGTTCACTCAATGTCCGGATGAATACTATGTACAACAAGAGCAGTGGGAACATGGTGGTTTTTCATGTGCTATACGTAGACGATATACTTCTAATTTGAAATAATAAGAAAGAATTGTCAGACGTAAAGGTTGAGCATTTTTATATGAAGGACTTAGGAGAAGCAGGACACATTTTTGGTATAAAGGTCATTCGGGAC